AAAATAGCCAATTTGTGGTAGATTTTATTAAAATTATTTTATTTTATTTAAATATATTATTGTTTAATTATATTTTCTTTTATTAAAAAAACTCATAATAAATAGGTAATATGTGTTAGAATTTTATAGAAACTCTTTTAAAAACCCTTTTTATATCAATTAATAAATATTTTTTTATATTAATAATTCTTGTCTAATTAGATTTCAATAAATAAATAAATAGATAATATGTGTTAGAATTTTATAGAAACTCTTTTAAAACCTCTTTTTATATCAATTAATAAATAATTTTTTATATTAACAATACTTGTCTAATTAGATTTCCTTTTATTAAAAAACTCAAAATAAATAGATAAATAGGTAATTTGTATTACAGTTTTTATATAAAATCTTAAAATATATCTTTGTCTAATGTAGTATAATTTTATTGAAAATAAAATAGGTAATTTGTGGTAGAGTTTTTCTAGTCTAATTAGATTTTCTTTTATTAAAAAACTTATAATAAATAAATAAATAAGTAATTTGTGTTAGAGTTTAATAGAAACTATTTTAAAAACTCTTTTTATATCAGTTAATAAATATTTTTAAATTTTAATAATTCTTGTCAAATTAGATTAGCTTTTATTAAAAAAAAAAAAAAAAACTCATAATAAAAAGTAGTTTGTGTTAGAGTTTTAGAAAAATTATTTTATTTTTTATATCAATTAAAAAAAAATTTATATTAATAATTATTGCCTAATTAGAATTTCTTTTATTAAAAAACTTATAATAAATAAATAAATAGGTAATTTGTGTTAGAGTTTAATATAAACACTTTTAAAATTCTTTTTATATCAATTAATAAATATTTTTATTTTAATAATTCTTATCTAGTTGGATTTACTTTTATTAAAAAAATTCATAATAAATAGATAAATTGGTAATTTGTGTTAGAGTTTTTTTTTTTTTTATAGAAACTCTTTTGAATCTCTTTTTATATTAATTAATAAATAATTTTTTGTATTACTAATACTTGTCTAATTATGATTTCTTTTGTTAAAAACTCACAATAAATAGATAAATAGATAATTTGTATTAGAGTTTTATAGAAACTCTTTATTATGTAGATTTTAGTGTTTATATTTTTTTATATATAAATAAATAAATACTGAAACTCTTTGCACATCTAATAATAGTATAGATAAAAACTCTTTTTAATAAATAGTGAAACTCTTTGGTAGAGATTATGAATTTTACTCTGTAATTATAGATTTTTAGAATTCTCAATTTTTGTACTCCTTCCTCCATGTCTCTATTTATAGACTTCTTAGATTAATAGGATTATGACATGTGTCCTTTTCTGATAATGACATAATCATAAGAGGCGAGTCGATTATATTGTGATAATTATCCATAAAAAAATAACTATTCTTTTTATATTGAACTAAAAATAAGAGTTTTATATAAAATGTGATTGATATTATTAGGTAATTTTGCAATTAATAAATATTTTTTATTTTAATAATTCTTATCTAATTGGATTTACTTTTATTAAAAAAACTCATAATAAATAGATAAATAGGTAATTTGTGTTAGAGTTTTATAGAAACTCTTTTAAAACCTCTTTTTATATCAATTAATAAATAATTTTTAATATTAATAATACTTGTCTAATTAGATTTTCTTTTATTAAAAAACTCATAATAAATAGATAAATAGGTAATTTGTGTTAGAGTTTTATGGAAACTCTTTAAATATATCTTTGCCTAGTGTGATAGAGTTTTATTGAAAATAAAATAGGTAATTTGTGATAAAGTTTTATAGAAATTATTTTATTTTCTTTAAATATATCTTGTCCAATTAGATTTAATTTTATTAAGAAACTCATAATAAAAGCTAAGTTATGGTAGAGTTTTAGAAAAAATATTTTGTTTTATATATCAATTAATAAATATTTTTTTATTTTAATAATTATTGTCTAATTAGATTTTCTTTTATTAAAAAATTCATAATAAAAAATAGATAAATAGGTTAATTTAAATTTTATCATGTAGATTTTAGTGTTTTAAATATTTTTTTTTTATAAATAAATAAATACTTAAATACTGAAACTCTTTGCACATCTAATAATAGTATAGATAAAAACTCTTTTTATATCAATTAATAAATATTTTTTTATATAAATAAATAAATACTGAAATAGTGAAATTCTTTGGCAGAGTTTCCGTATTTTACTCTATACTCCTTTCTCATTCCCTTTATTTATAGGCTTTTTGGATTAATAAGATGACGACATGTGTCTTTTTCTGATAATTACATAATCATAACTGGGCCGGGTCGGTTATATTGTGATAATTATCCATGAAAAATAACTATTCTTTTTATATTGAACTAAAAATTAGAGTTTTATATAGAATGTTATTGATTTTATTAGGTAATTTTTAGAATATTATAGAAACTATTTTTATATTAATTAATAAATATTTTTTATATAAATAAATAAATACTGAAATATAGAAACACTTTGCATGATTTTATTAGGTAATTTTCAATTAATAAATAGTTTTGATTTTAATAATTGTTGTCTAATTAGATTTACTTTTATTAAAAAACTCATAATAAATGAATAAATAGGTAATTTGTACTTAAATACTGAAACTCTTTGCACATCTAATAAAAGTATTATATAAATTAATAAATATTTTTTTATATAAATAAATAAATACTGAAACTCTTTGGCAGAGTTTCTGTATTTTACTCTGGAATTCTGGATTTTTAGAATTCTCAATTTCTGTACCCCTTCCTCCTTTCTCCATGCCTCTATTTATAGGCTTCTTGAATTGATATGATGATGACATATGTCCTTTTCTGATAATTACATAATCATTACCGAGCCGGGCTGGTTATATTGTGATAATTATTTATAAAAAATAACTATTCTTTTTTTATTGAACTAAAAATTAGAGTTTTATATAGCATGTGATTGATTTTATTAGGCAATTTTTTGAGTTTTATAGAAACTATTTTTACAAAAATTATTTTTATATCAATTAATAAATATTTTTTATATAAATAAATAAATACTGAAACACTTTGCATGATTTTATTAGGTAATTTTCAATTAATAAATATTTTTGATTTTAATAATTCTTGTTTAATTAGATTTATTTTATTAAAAAAACTCATCATAAATAGATAAATAGGTAATTTATTTTAGAGTTTTATAGAAACTCTTTTAATACCTCTTTTTATATTAATTAATAAATAATTTGTTATATTAACAATATTTGTCTAATTAGATTTCCTTTTATTAAAAAACTCATAATAAATAGATAAATAGATAATTTGTGTTAGAGTTTTATAAAAACTCTTTAAATATATCTTTGTCTAGTGTGATATAGTTTATTGAAAATAAAATAGGTAATTTGTGATAGAGTTTTATAGAAATTATTTTATTTTCTTTAAATATATCCTTGTCTGATTAGATTTAATTTTACTAAGAAACTCATAATAAAAGCTAATTTATGGTAGAGTTTAAGAAAAATTATTTGTTTTATATATCAATTAATAAATATTTTTATATTAATAATTCTTGTCTAATTAGATTTTCTTTTTTTAAAAATTTCATAATAATAAATAGATAAATTTTTGGACCATTTGGTTAAACACAATTGATTATAGATTGAATTTTAATTTTATTAGGTAATTTTGAGTTTTATAGAATTTATATCATGTGATATAATAATTAATGAGAGCTCTTTATTGTGAATTAAACCCTTTTTATGTTATTATATCAATTAATAAATAATTTTTTATATTAACAATACTTGTCTAATTAGTTTTATTTTATTAAAAAACTAATAATAAATAAATAAATAGGTAATTTGTGTAGAGTTTTATAGAAACTCTTTAAATATATCTTTGTCTAGTGTGATATAGTTTTATTGAAAATAAAATAGGTAATTTGTAATAGAGTTTTATAGAAATTATTTTATTTTCTTTAAATATATCCTTGTCTAATTAGATTTAATTTTACAAAGAAACTCATAATAAAAGCTAATTTATGGTAGGGTTTTAGAAAATTATTTTGTTTTATATATCAATTAATAAATATTTTTATATTAATAATTGCTGTCTAATTAGATTTTTTTATTAAAAAATTCATAACAATAAATAGATAAATAGGTTAATTTATGAACCATTTGGTCAAGCACAATTGATTATAGATTGAATTTTAATTTTATTAGGTAATTTTGAGTTTTATAGAATTTATATCGTGGAATATAATAATTAATAAGAGTTTTTTTTTTATTGTGAATTTGAATTTTAATAGGTAATTTTGAGTTTTATAGAATTTATATCAATTAATAAATAAATACTGAAACTCTTTACACAAAGGCCGAGAAAAGTAGTACTACACTTGATCTTAGCCAAAAGACCAAGAAGGGTTAGCCAAAAGGCCGACCCAAAAAAATTTAGTACTACACTTGATCTTAGCCAAAAGGCCGAAAATGTGTGATTATTATTTCTTTAGTTCTATAGTTTTATAAGAGACTTTCATGTAATCCTTTTTATTTAAAACCAATGTGGGACTTTGTAATTTGAATTAAACTCTTTTTATATTTTATTAATTTGAAATAATTTTAATTTTATTAGGTAATTTTGAGTATTATAGAATTTATATCAATTAATAAATAAATACTGAAATATTGAAATACTGAAACAGTTTGCATATTTAATAATAGTATAGATATATCGTTGGTTTTCATTGAATTTTTTAGATTTCAAGGTTCTTGAATATTGAGTTTTTTTATTTCCCCTCTTTTAAGCATATGTTCATGGATGAAATCATCATAGTTCAAGACTTTAGGCTCTGTCATTTACAAATTGGTCCTTAAATAAATTAGATACTTTATTCAATTTTTTAGCTTCCGTGTTAACTTGTTATTGACCCAACCAGACAATTTACTACTAAAGACGAGGAACTTAAATGGAAATGTACCCTTCTTATCTGTCAAAACGGACGGTTTATAAAATGACCAAATTATCACTTCTACAATAAATTATGCTCCTCCATTGTCGCCATTCTGAAGCTGCGTTGTCTTCAAGATTGCCCTTCTTCTGGATCTATTCTCATGGACTGGAAAATCTCTCCATCGGCTTGAAGACCTCCTCCTCGTCCTCCAGACTGATTCGTGGGTGGCAGGGCCGCCGACTGAAGCTACCGGACTAGAATCTGGCATCCATTAATGGCTCCATGCCGTTACTGGTAGTTACTACCTTCGCTTTAGGGGTTGGTTTGTTGGATTTGTTTCCTGGGTTGGGCTATTGTTTTAGCCTTGTTGTCAGCTTTGGACTTGACTGTTTACATTCTACTTTGCCTTATGGCCCAATTGTATATATCTTTTAATCAATGCTTTAATTTTCGAAAAAAAAACAAAAAAAAATTACTTATAAATAACCAAACTATCAAACACCCCATTATTGGGTTACAACATTGATGTCCAACCAGTTCAACCTTTCTATTACACCAAGCTTCAATCATATTACTTATTTCCTGAATCATTGGTCTCAGACTAAGGATCTTAGAGCCATTAAGAAACTTCATGCTCATCTTCTAAGGACTGGATTACTCTTCATCTCTCTTAACCTCCACACGAAACTCATATGCACATACACAACATGCCTTCACAGAAACAACCTTCAAATTCTCAAAAACTTCTCCCACTGCATCAACCCCAACAACCCATTACCATTCAATTCGATTATATCTGATTTTTATCGAAATGGGTATCCATTTCTCGCTCTCCATACCTTCTCTTTCATGCACATCAATGGTGTTCCTATAGACACCTACGCTTTGTGTAGCTCTTTAACAGCTTCATCTGGTTCTAGAAGTGTTAGATTTGGTAAACAATTACATGCCTATGTGGAGAAATCAGGTTGGTTGGCAAGTGTGTTTGTTGGCAGTGCTTTGATTGATTTATATGCGAAATCGATACTTATCAATGATGCATCAGAGATGTTCGATGAAATTCCTGTTAAGAATACTGTGTGTGCAAATGCACTCTTAGCAGGTTTTGCTGAAGCAAAGATGTGGGATGAGGGAATTGAAGTAGTACGGAAAATGCGGGTTTTGAACTTGAAATATGATAATTTTACATTGTCAGCAGTGTTACGTGCATGTGCAGGGCTATCTGCAATAGAATTTGGTAAGCAGGTACATGCAAATGTGATTCGTACGGTTTCTGATTTGGGAGCTGATGTGTTTCTGCAGAGTTCATTGATTGAAATGTATGGCAAGTGTGGGTTAGTAGAGAAGGCGCGACAAGTCTTTAGTATGGCAGGATTTGGATGGGGAAGAGGGAGAAAGAGGGATGTTGTTTTATGGACATCAATGCTCGGTGTATATGGAAGAAATGGGCAGTGCAAAGAAGTGATCGGATTTTACAGAGAGATGTTGATGGAAGGTATAAGGCCTGATGGGGTGGCATTTGTGACAGTCATCTCAGCTTGTGGTCACGCTGGCCAAATAAATCTTGGGATTAAGTATTTCGAATCCATGGCTCGGGACTTCAATTTGGAACCTGGCCCTGAGCATTACGGTTGTTTGGTCGATTTGCTTTGTAGGGCTGGTGAGTTGGACAAGGCATGGAAGCTGGTGAATGAGATGCCCAATATAAAGAATGGAAGTTGCAGTGTCACAATGTGGGGTGCTCTACTTAGTGCTTGTAATGATTGTGGAAATATTGATTTGGGTAAATTAGCTGCACGAAGGGCACTTGAGTTGGATCCTAAGAATGTTGGGATTTACGTCTTGTTATCAAATATGTATGCTAGGTTTGGCATGTGGAATGAGATAGGGCAGTTGAGGGAGTTGATGAAAGAAAGAGGTTTAAAGAAAGACACTGGATGCAGCTGGATAGAGTTCACAAGTTGACCTAAAGATATTCAAATTTAAGACAATGGTGCAGCTGGATGGAGTTCAAAACTTGAATTATAGGGAATTGTCTCCTAAGAAGAATAGCTTTTGTTTTTCCTTTTGGTTTAAAGAAAGACAATGGATGTAGGCATAACTTGTTTATACATTTCACCCTATTCTTAATGAATTTGCAGGCGCTTATTTACTGACTTATGAGAATTTATTGCTTATTGTATAGCTGAAACTATGGTATCTAATGATCAATCTTGGTTCCCATTTCCTTTAACAATTAAGTTTATGTGTGGCACTTTCAGGACTAAGCCAAGATTATTCTAAGTACATGGACCGTGAAACTAGAACTGAATGAGACTGCAACTCTTGCAATTTGCGCATTCTCTTGCTTGTCACAGTTGCTCTAAAACATAAGAGAAGAAAATAATCTCTATTCTATAATAGATGTCGCGGTGGTAGTTCACCATTGGGGTTTTAAGTGGACAGGTTTTGTACTTCACCGCTGCATATATTGTACTCCGGTAAAACACTATAGTTTCTGTCAAGATATAGGTAAATGATGGAAGTAGGATGGTCTCAGATACCGAACATCAGTCTTTGGAAAGCTTCTGTTGTAAAGCATATAGCTAATAAGGGGTTCACAATCCAAGGACATGAACCAAGTTCTTCCAGGAAACTCCATTTGTTTTTCTGTAGAAAAGATCAGGCTGAATGTGATTTGACTTCCCATCACGATGAAACGAGTACTGTTGGTTTGATTAACGTATAGTTTGTGTCATTATATATAGTTTGTGCCATTGTTTGGTGGCTTCAAGTTTATTGGAGCTTTTCAGATCTAGCGTTTAATTTGGCTTTGCCCCTGTAAATCTTTGTTCATTGTCATTTTTCAGATCTATCGTGTTCCTCTTTTTTCCCCTAATACTAGTTCTTGCTTTATAAATTGTTTATGCTTACAAAATACAACTGTGACCATTTTTTTTTGTTTTTTGACAACTAGGACTGTTGTTCGTAAAGACATTGTTTTTTCTTACACATTGATGTAATGATGCTTGATTTCTCCAATATCTGATTGAAGTGTATCACTGACAGTCTGTTGAAAATTTGGCACTTCTTACAAAACATAAGCTTAATTTCCTAGGAAAAAAAATGATACTTTGGGTTTTGTCAATCGGATTGTGATTAGTGGTTTGACAAAGAGAGTTTAAAATTACAGCCCCTTTTTTTTTTTTTTTTTTTTAATATTTTTTTTGTCACTATTCAGCTTTATTTTTGGTGAATCTTGTCGTCGTTGTTCAATGGTTATTTTAAAAGATGTGAATGTAATTTATCCTTTTTTTTAGAAGGATATTACTGATTAGTTGGTGGGAAATCTTAATCATGTTTACAATTAGCCGGCATAGGTTAAGATTTGTCTCAAAACCTTTGTATTTTAAAAGTGTATTAAGTAATTTGTTGTTGACATATTTGGGTCTAAAAGCAAATATAATCCCAGTCCAATCAGGAATTGAGTTCTGAACCCTACAAATGGAAGGATTCTATTTTAAAATTGTATTAAGTAATTTGTTGTTGACATATTTGGGTATAAAAGTAAATATAATTCCAGTCCAATCAGAAGTTGAGTTTTAAACCCTATAAAAAAATTACCTAGGTTGAGATAACAATGTCAAATTACAAAACAAGCAGCCTAGAATCACATATAGCAGAAAAGACCGGAAGACAACAAGAACCCGCGAAAAAAAAGGTCAATTCCATTGCATTCTAAATTATATGTGCATAAATTTCTTTCTTCTTACATGTTTGAATTTAATTATTTCTACAAATTAGTAAGGCCAGTCTTCTTGTCCTCTTAAATAATTTATATATATATATATATATATATATATATATATATATATGATTAAACGGAGAGTCTTTCTTTGTGCAAAAAGCTCATCGAAAGTGGGAAGAAAACAAACCCAAAGGAAAAAAAATATATATATATTGTGTTAAAAAAATTGATAATATATGGATTCGAACAAGCCCATGATTTGAAGTATCTGATCAACATCAATCTCATAGCCCACATATTTTATGTGGTGCTATAATTTTCATGTTTTGCAAATATTAGTCTTTTCACAGATTTTAATTAAAATTTATATTAATATAATTATAACTTTATTATTGAAAACAACGGAAGTTCAAGAATTTTAGTTGTTGAAGTCATTAGTCACAAAATTTTGTATTGTTAACCATGGACAAAATTAGCTAGTAATAAAAATGAATTATTTTTATTTTTGTGTATAATTTAAATTTGATCACAAAAAAAAATATTATTAAGTGAGAAGTATGGGAGACATTAGGCGTTCTCGTTGGGGCTTCAAATGGAACTCTTCATGCATAGTTCGAATTCGACACAACAAAATCTTAGTCAGACCTAGACCCAGTTGAGCTCAAGCTTAATTTTTGAACTTATTTAATAAATAATCCATAAACTTGAGCAACATTAAACTAAGCTCGTTAAGCTTGTGAATAATCTATTCATCTATATTTCAATACCATTCTAAATGTTTAGCCCATATTGTATTAACATTGTACCCTTACAAGGGTTTTAGGCTTTTATCTCATCTGAGTATATTTTCACTAGCCCATCATTCAAATCAGATTTCAACTCAGCTATTAGAATCTAATACGGATTATTGATTTGCTAGAGTTAAGTGATAAGAATAAATTAGAGATGACAATATATCCGTATTTATGGATTATAATCGTATCGTGTTGACCTAAAACTATTATATTAAACAGCTCAATTCAAATACGATCCGTTTAATAATCGTGTCAATAATTCCCTAATACGTCATGTTTCTTAACCGGGTTAATCCGACTTGTTTATTAATCCGGTTACACTTGTAACTGGTTTAATGACTTATTTACAAAAATAAAATATTATATTATTTAGATTATTAATAATACTTAATAAAACAATAAACACTAGAAAATATAAATTTTAATTCAACTAAATTAATAAATAGTCTCTAATTTACAAAAGAGTAAATTATAAGATACAAGTTTATATTGTAATTTTGGAACTTAAATAAAAATTTATTTATGACATATATAATTCAATGTGTGTAACTGGTTGAACTCCTTAACTCAAACACAATAAGATTAACTAAACTAATCATGTTTGCAGTTAAGATTTGTCTCAAAACCTTTTTACTTAGGATTCAATTTTAAAATTGTGTCAAGTAATTTATTGTTGACATATTTGAGTCTAAAAGTAATAATAATCCCAGTACAACTAGGAATTGAGTTTTGAACCTATAAATGGATAGATAGGTTGAGACAACAATGACGAATTACAAAGCAACAAACCTAGACTGGAAGACAACAAGAACCTGCCAAAAAAAAGGGTAAATTCATTCCATTCTAAAATATATGTTGTGATGCGAAATATACGTATAAATTATATTCTTCTTAGATATTTGTACATTATTAATTTCAGTATATTATTAATTTTAGTACATTATTATATTATTTATTTATTTTTATTTATCATGTATTTTTACCTTCTTTTTTTTTTTTTTTTTAAAAATTTTTTTTTTTTATTTGCTTTCTAACTCTTTCCTGTTTTATAATTCTATTCCCTTTCTAACTCTCTTTTTTTTTTTTTTTTCTTCAAATTATATTCTCTTTATTAGAAATAAAATTAAAAATAATATTACAATTACAATGTTAAATAAATGGATGTGACCGATAGCATATAACATGTGTATATATATAATGTTAATCAATGCTAAATTATTAATCTAAATAACAAATTTCAATGATAAACTTTTTTATTTTGGATTATTAATTTCCCACTCCATTAATAATAATAAACTCCTAGTTCCTCACTCAATTAACTACTAAGAGACTCCTAATTCCTCAATCAATTAAATACTAAAAGTCCAATTTTATATGTATTGAGGGGCTGAGACTTTTTTTTTTTTTTTTCCTTTCCTTTTTGATTCTACAGTACGTCTTGTGAATTTTATCTTATTAGGAATTTGATTAATGTTGCATTTTTCCATAATAATAATAATTAAAAAATAATAATCCTTTTTCATATTTCAGATGGCTGGAGTCGATCATAATATGTTGAAGAAATTTGAGACTCTCCCCCTTTCGAGTAGAAGAGCAAAGAGGAGAAGCAACAAACGACATTTTCTTCCGGGAGGGATCATATTCAACATCTTGCTTTTCGTTCCAGTTGAGATTCTGTTTTCCGTGATGAGATTTGTTTGCCAAGAATGGCATGACATTATCAACCACCCTTCTTTCATTGATGCACACCTTCAAAGATCAACTACCTCTAGCTCCTTCCTCATCCAATTTCACGAACATCGTGAACTGGTCGATATTGTGGAGTCCAACACTTGCATTGACGTTCGGTTAAGAGATTTTAACCATTTCTTCCCTAAACCTGTTCTCTCAAGTTGTGATGGTTTAGTTTTGTTCTGTGACGACGAGGATCAACAGATATACTCCGTTGCAAATCCGATAACCAATGAAACACTGACCCTCCCTCCATTATTCGAACCCGAACCCAAACCCGATCTTTTTGTTTTAGTTCGTGCAGCTCATTCTACCGGCAGAATATACAAAGTTGTTCGCGTCTTCCACGATCACCTGAATAAATACAAGTGTTGTATATTAACTGTGGGTGCTGAAATGAGTTGAAGTTGATACTGAACGCATTCCGGATCCTCTTCTCTATTTCTCCGAAACTGCACTGTTTGCTAGCGGGTATCTTTATTGGACTAGGCGTGTGAATAATGGTTGTCTTTCTTCTCTTCTGGCTATGAATGTTGAAACTGAAATAATGCACCGGGTTCCATATCCGCAATTCTTCAACAAAAAAGTGGGTGGTTTTGCAGTGAGGGAGGACTCTCTTACTTTCATTTTCGAAGATGATAATTTTGTTTGCGAGGTTTGGGCGTTGACAGATTTAAACGCAGGAGAGTGGACATGTCTTTTTAACATGAACTTGTGCCGTCTAAGGCACTTGTTTAAGCGTAAAAGTTGGTGTAATTTCGAATATAAATATTTGTTACCTCTTCTCTGGTTAAAAAATGGAGAGCTGGTGATGTTTCGTGTTTCAAAACCATGGAGAGCGCACATCGTTTACAACATGAAGACGGAAAAAATTACTTCATTTCCAATTAGGAAAAGGCACCTTAA